ACACACACACACACACACACACACACACACACACACACATGCACACACCAAGGGATGGTATTAAACTGTCATTTTATGTATATATATATATCAGGAGTATATAATAGAGAAGGAGTATGACATCAATAAACAAGGGAAATTCGTCATTTACTAGCCTTATAATACCTACGATTTACTACGCGTAACTCATCCAACTTGAGCTCAAATCGTACACAGTACATTCGCCTAGCATCGTGAGAAATCGTTTCCTCGTATACACAAGCTATCCGGAGATACAGACTAAAACGTACGACACGATTATCCATTCTTTGGCCATCAATCCAAGCCGATTGCTGATGGCGGTTGGCGTGCGTGCGTGGAGGCATGCCAGCTGTATGCCGGTATGCGGGTATGTAGCTGTATACCGGGTCAAAGGTTATCTCGCCGAGTGTTGATGCCTAATCTCTGATTTATTGTGTATCAGTGTATACGAGGAAACGATTTCGCATGATGCTAGGCGAATGTACTGTGTACGATTTGAGCTCAAGTTGGATGAGTTATGCGTAGTAAATCGTAGGTATTTTAAGGCTAGTAAATGACGAATTTCCCTTGTTTATTGATGTCACACTCCTTCCCTATTATTTACTCCTGACAATATCATATAGAGTACACAATCTATTATCCGAAATTCTGAAAACCGAAAAGCTCCGAAAACCGTGAGTTTTTTCGTGGAGCTTATCTGCACACCAAGGCTCGTGTTTGGCGCCAAAACTCAACCCGACGAATATTAATGTGTTTGGCATTACTCATACATATTGTACTGTACCGGTACATCACTTGGCCTCTAGAAAACTTGGGTTTTAGTATTTCTGTACTGTGCTACCATTCCGAAATCCGAAAAATTCTGAATGCCAAATTAACGTGTCTGGTCCCAAGGGTTTCGGATAATAGATTGTGTATTGTATTAAAGTGATTACGTCACCCTAAATAGTAAAATTAAAAAAATTATGCCCACTTTTACACAAAATGTAAGTGATTCTGTTCACTTTTTATGGTTAAATTGCTGCATTATACTTCATATTTTGCTACTCTGTTAGATGTGAACAAACCCGTGTGACTCATACATAGCCCATAGCAAGCATTTAATGTCATGATCGATATATCAAATCGCCCTGATTTTTTTGATTTTTAACTAGTTGAAAAACAATCTTATCCGGTAAGAATTTGAGGATACATTTAGTGCCTTTAGTACTTATACTTTTCATGTAAAAAAATTGCAACAATATTTTTACAAATGTAGGCACCACAGAAAATTCGTGACGTAGTTAATTTAAAACAGGTCATGCGCGTGTGACCCTAACCCCAGTGACGGCCCTGCATCGAAAAGCCCTCTAGAGCGCGTTTGTTTGAGACGAATCCATCGGATCACGATCATGTGATCCTGATCCGACCAAACAATTGCAAACTCACTTTCACCGGTTCACGTTTCACTGTGACCTATCACGGGATGGTTAATAACAAAGAACAAGCTGTGATTGGCTGAGGCGCGGGCTGCCATATTGGATCCCGTTTGAATCCACCTCGCTAGCAGGGTCGGGTTCGGTGGATCGAGATCAAGTGATCCGACCAAACAAACAGTCAGATCAACGAATCCATTGCATCGCAATCTGTGGATCCGACAATGCGTCTGAACGTGCCTCTAGTTACGACAGATGTTCCCAGATGTCGACATTTGTTAGAATATCGCGCTTTTTATGAAGTTATCACAAAGCTGATAGGTAGAGATGGAGGGTGGAAAGGAGAGAATGGAGGAGAGATGGAGGGTGGAAAGGACAGAAGGGAGGAGAGATGGAGGGTGGAAAGGAGAGAATGGAGGAGAGATGGAGGGTGGAAAGGACAGACGCTCGTGCGAACCAAACCGGCGGAAGGTGAGGTTGAAAGCAAAGGACGGGTGCCGCACAACGGAGCACGAACTGGAGCGATGCCACGCATCCGAGGGTGGAAAGGACAGACGGGTAGGAGAGATAGGAGGGCTGGCAAGGACGAGAATGGACGGCCAGCAGATGGAGCGCGTATCAAAAAGCCCGAGACGGAGAGGAAGGAGTGCGCAGGTGGAGACAGGACGACCGACAGCGAGCTAGACCCGCATCGCGACGGCGCTGCAACAAGTAAAGGAAGCGAAGAGATTGGAGGGTGGAAAGCAGACCGACATCCGGAGAGAGATGGAGGGTGGAAAAAGCGAGAGCACTGCGAGGCGAGATGGAGGGGCCTGGAACCAAGCCGAGCCGAAGGGACCGGCCAGAGATGGCCAAAGTGGAAAGCGAACAGAATGAGAGGGAAGAGAGATGGAGGCCGACTGCGACAACGCGACGCAGACATGGACGAGCCCAGGATGGAAGGCCCGGACCAAGGAGAGACAGAGACGAGACAAGATGAGGTGAAAAGGCAGGGAATGGAGGAGAGATGGAGGGGTATAAAAGTGAAGGAAAGGAAGATGACAACGGGGTGAAAAGGAGAGAAGGACGGCCCTAAGAGATTGCCCGACGGGTGGACCAGAAACGTAAACGAAGCACCCGAGATGGATGGGCCGGAACAGACCGCAGAATGGAGGCAGAGATGAGACCGGTCGGAAAGGAGAGAATGGAGGAGAGATGGAGGGTGGGAAAGGACAGAAGCGGAGGAGAGATGGAGGCGGTGGAAGGACAAGAATGCGACGGAGCCAGATGGACGGTGCCACACAGACGCAGACCGCGCAGCAGACCAGGCCTGGAAAGGAGCCAGAAATCGGCAGCGAGAGATGGCAGGGTGAAAAGGAGGGAACCTCGGAGTAAGACTGCGCTGAGCCCAGCTAGTTTTCTGACGACAATTCGAGAAGAATGGAGGACGAGAGGGATAGACAACGCATAAACAGTAAAACAGAAACATGCGACAGAAACCAGGATAAAAGACAACGAGAAAGACGACAGAGAAGAGACGAGATGAGAGAGATAGAGCAGAGATGAGAGAGAGAGAGCAGAAAAGAGCAGAGAAAGAGCAGATAACAGAGAACTAAAGAGGGAGAGAGAGGGAGCAAGAGATATAAAGAAGTGCAATCGAGCGCCAGAGAGAGGGCAAGGAGTATATAAAGAGCGAATGAGTGAGCGAGTGAGCGAGAAAGCGAGATTTAAAATTCTAGTGAGAGATAGAGAATAAGAGAAAAAGAGAAAGAGAGAGAGAGAGAGAGAGAGAGAGAGAGGAGGGAAAGAGAGAGATTTAAAATGCGAGCGAGAGAGAGTACGTGAGAGAGAGAAAAAGCGAGAAAAAAAGCGAGAGAGAGTGAGAGAGAGAGAGTGTGTGTGTGTGAGAGAGAGACAGAACCGAGTACTGAGCGTAGATATTCACAGACTACGCACGTCTTGGCAGACAAGCGCGTAACTACTGTTGCTGCATCGTTACTCCGTCTCCATGTCGCGCTTGAGCCTGGCTAAAGCTGACAGCATCTTGTCCCGCCACGCCCGCCGCGCCCCCATCTCTCCAAGCGGCGTCATCTCCTGCAGTTGTTTGTTAATCTGCTCAAGAGATGGCGGTGGCGCTGTGTACGCCGGCGTCGGCCCCATGGTGGCGCTCACACGCTCCAGGCCGGCTCCGTGTCGGCGCATGTAGTCGACCATGCCTAAACAAGAGAACGCATCTACTTAAAAAGATATATAAATGAAAAATGGCGGTACAAAGGTGCAGGAGTAAGGGTAATCGTAACCAGAATTTAGGTTAAAGGAATATTTACGAGACTTTTTGCTCAGAAACCCTCAATCTGAAAGAAATCTCGCAAAATATCATCTCACCTCACAGTGGCTATATCACTGATTACACCAACGTTAAAAATGCTCAGATTTTATGCAGTTATATCATAGAAAACTGAACTTGAAGACATCGTACCAACTCCGCCTATTATTGTGTCCGCAAAATCTAAAAACAAATGGCGCCTTCAAAACAATTAAGTGCAGCTGATTAAAACAAAGGGGCATTTGATTCTGCGTAGTAAGAATTATTGACTTGCCGGTGCGCAGCGGAGCGCAGCAGCGAGGTGCTTTTGTGAGCGAGTTTGTTGTTAGGGTAGCACAAATCAAACAACCACGGAAGCAGCAGGACGTGTACTTTGGAGTTCGGAGAAAAGGAGAAGGCATTTTTGGTCGATACTAGAGAATAGATATATACATATCGTGGCCGTATACTGGCTGCGGTAATCAGCTCTGTTTCGGATAAAATATCAGCAGAGTGTTGGTCTGATACATCCGCCATTCAACACTTTCTGTCATTGTCATTCAAGTGTTCTGAGTCATCTGACTGGTAATCCGCAAGCTTCTCTAATAAAAAACTTAACGCGGCATCAGTATTACACTCCTGTTACGCTAGTATGAACATCTGTGTTTAGACTCAGACCAAAATTGCTGCGGTGCGATTAATTGCATCCCTGCACCCTGGTCGATGTCTCGCGCTATCACGAGAAAGTCCAGGCAGCGGAAATCAAAAACAGAACGCAAAATTGTAATCGTGCATCGAAACTATCACTGGTAGTGATTAATACCCCCGCAATATACCACTTTGTCGGATGGGAAATGGAAGGTCATGGTGTTGCATATGTTATGAGTAAAGAACACACGGAACACAAAAAGATATATAATTACAAAAAAAAATGATGAGACACGGTTTCCATGGCAACGGCTTAACTGACGCACACATCTACACTTCGTGATGATCAAGTGTATGAAGTTTCATTGGAATCCCTTGAAAACTGTGAAA